CGCCAAGAAAATTTTGGACTTGTGAGAGGCTAAAAATGACCCCAGGTCGATCATAATGTAACGTGTAACCAACGCTGAAAAGCCTTTGACTCTATCTCAATCCCTTGAGAAGTTGCAGCACTTTGAAATAAATTTTGATGGAAAAAATCGAGGCAAAATAGTGATTTTGGGCAATTTTGAGATGCCCCCTCGTTGCCATGGTAACAGGAAATTTAAGACTGAGCATGTCGTTACAAAGGCAATGGTCCAGTCAACATTTGTGCCAAGTTTGATTAGTATTGAAGCATTTTTCATAGTTTCATAGCAGTTTGAACTTGTAACAGGCGGCTTTTCAGTGAAAAAGGCCATTTTCCACAATATGCTCATGGGGGAAAGGGTTAAATTATGGCTCCTGGGGTACACCTGACCTTGCTCTAGGGGCACACAGTTTTATAAGAGATAAATTGGGAAACTTTAAAAAATCATATTTTCAGAACTGCATTGCTTAGAGCTTTGTTATTTTGCATGAAGCATTACCTTGTAAGCTTCTACCAACTTTGTTCAAATCATGACCCTAAAGGTCAAATTGGCTCCATCCCAAGAGAACATATTTTATATAAAGATATAAAGGGTAAAACTTGAAAAATCTTCTTCTACAGAACTACAAGGCCTGGACCTTTGGTAATTTGCATAAAGCACATTCTAATTTCCCTTTGCCAAGTTTGTTCAAATCATGACATCTAGGTGAAAGTCCAACATGTATTATTTTTTACAGTGGTATAATAGTAAAAAAAGTCCCATTCAGAACCTTATCAGGGTATTTTTTTGTCAAAATTGTGAAGGGGCCTGGACCTGTTCATTTGGTGAAAAAAAGCGTGATTTGTCATAAAATTGTTAAAAAAATATTACATATTATTTGGCATTAATTTTAGGGACATTATGAAACCGGAAAATCTGCTTCAAGTCGGTACTTTAACCCGCTTAACGTGGGCTAAAACCATTTAACTTGATTAAAACTATTTCTTTGCTCTTGAAATTGGCGTAAATCATGTTTTACTGGAAGGTAAACAATATATTTCAAAGACAATATTTTGTGAAATTTCTTTTGAAATTGTGAATTTTTTTCTGCCATTTTGTGAAAAAAAAAGTGCAATTTTGAATTGTGAAGGGGCCTTAATTATTGGCCCCTGTTATAGAAGGAAAAAAGACCTGCTATGATGGCCTATTTTTTTGTTGATTTTTACATGATGTCCATAGTTGACTTTTACTTTTGTTCAAAATATGATTCCTGGGTCATTATTTAAATGGAGTAATAAATTGAACATTTAAACATTTAATGTTATAGAAATTTATAAACTTATGGCTGAGTGGTCAAGGTCGTTGACTTCAAACCATTTACCTATCACTGCTGTAGATTTCAGCTGCACTAGTCAGTGGTTCTACTGAGATGCTCGCTTGTGCCTGAAATATTACACAGTGGTTTTCTTCTACCTGTAAAGCTGGAAAGTTGTCATATGACCTATACTGTGTTGATGCGACATAAAACCCAACCAAAATATGAAAAGGAAAAAAAAGGTTATATTTAAGATTTAACCTTCATAAGCTGATGGATGATACATCAGAATTTATTTTTCATACTTGATTATTTATATTTTTATGCCCCCACAGAGTGGGAGCATAATTATAGCTTGCACTTGTCCGTCCGAGTGTCCGTCCGTCCGTACATCTGTCCGAGCAAACATTTTATTATTATGAGCTTCATTCCGTAGTTAAATAAAGAACAAAAACTTATAAATTCTAATTAAGAGCTATTTTTGTGTCGCCTTGAAAAGTTGACATATAAGGGTTACTTTTGTCGGCGGCGTCGGCGGCGGCGTCTGTGTCGGCGTCGGCGTCCCCTAAAGCTTGTCCGGAGCATAACTCAGTCACTTTAAGTCTGATTGACTTCAAACTTGGTATGCATGCTTCTTTCAATAACCCGAAGTGCAGTGCACAAGGACCGGTACTCTGCAGTTCTTATTTTTTGAGTTATTGCCCTTTGTTGATTTTCATACTTTAATTTTGTCCGGGCCATTTCTCTTCAACTAAAAAAGCTATGGACTTGAAACTTCATAGGATGATAGATCTCATTAAGAAGAAATGCAGTGCACAAGAACCAAGAACCAGTACTCTGCACTTCCTAATTTTTGAGTTATTGCCCTTTGTTAATTTTCATACTTTATTATTGTCCGGGCCATTTCTCCTAATGTATAAAAGCCATGGACTTGAAACTTCATAGGATGATAGGTCTCATTAAGAAGAAGTGCAGTGCACAAGAACTGGTACTCTGCATTTCTTATTTTTTGAGTTATTGCCCTTTGTTTATTTTCATACTTTAATTTTGTCCGGGCCATTTCTCCTTAAGTATAAAAGCTATGGACTTGATAGTCTTCATAGGATGATAGATCTCATTATTAAGAAGTGCAGTGCAGAAGAACTGATACTCTGCATTTCTTATTTTTGAGTTATGGCCCTTTGTTAATTTTCATACTTAATTTTTGTCCAGGCCATTTCTCCGAAAGTATAAAAGTTATGGACTTGAAACTTCATAGGATGATAGATCTCATTAAAAAGAAGTGCAGTGCATAAGAACTGATACTGAGTTTTTTGAGTTATGGCCCTTTGTTAATTTTCATACTTTATTTTTGTCCTGGTCATTTCTCCCCAAGTATGAAAGCTATTGACTTGAAACATCATAGAATGATAGATCTTATTGATAAGAAGTGCAGTGTACAGAAACTGCTGCTCTGCACATATTGATTTTTTTAGTTATTGCCCTTTGTTATTTTTCATATTTCATTTTTGTCCTGGCCATTTCCCCTAAACTACATTGTTCACAAGGCGACACATCCGACTCGTGGAGTTCTAGTTTTGTTTTTATGAGCTTATTTTGGTTATGTACGTTGGTCCAGGTGGTTTTGATGAACTAATTTGCCTCATAAACATCAAATTTTGGTACGTCCGTCCGTCTGTACGTCCCGAAATCTTGTGAACGCAACTCCTCTTAAACCGGATGGCTGATTTTGCTTAGACTTCCAGGGATGAACAACCTTAATGTGTAGATGGTAGTTAAGGGAGGAATGTTTGCTGTGACCAAATTTAAAAGAATTATGGCCCTTTGTTGATTTTTTTCACTATATACTATGTAGAAATTTTGTGAACGCAACTTCTCTTAAACCGGATGGGTACTATGTAGAAATTTTGTGAACGCAACTTCTCTTAAACCGGATGGCAGATTTTGCTTAAACTTTTAGGGATGAACAACCTTAATGTGTAGATTGTAGTAAAGGAAGGAATGTTTGCTGCGACCAAATTTAACAGAATTATGGCCCTTTGTTGATTTTTTCACTATATACTATGTAGAAATTTTGTGAACGCAACTCCTCTTAAACCGTATGGCAGATTTTGCTTAAACTTCCAGGGTTGAACAACCTTAATGTGTAGATGGTAGTTAAGGAAGGAATTTTTGCTGCGACCAAATTTAAGAGAGTTATGGCCCTTTGTTGATTTTTAGTTTTCAACTTGTGGCACATGTAATCCAAAAAATATTTGACCTAGAGTCATAAGATTGACAGAACAGTGGCGTGTGGGGGCATCCGTGTCCTATGGACACATTTCTAGTTTATATACAGTCGAACTTCGTTCGTTCAAACTCAGAGCGCCCTTGCAAATATGTTTGAGAAATCATAATGGTTGAGTTCAATTAGGCAATCATTTCCCAAAATTGTTGAACAATTTTTAAAATATATTGATATGTTTATGGGTTAAATTTCCCTTTAAACACTGAATTAATAAAATATTTTAAAAACATTTTACAGCAGCATCTATTTGTAGTCATTTACTAAAATAAACACATACAAGTATCATTCAATAAATAGATAACACTGATACAATTCACGCTTCATGTACCACCGCTGCAATTAAAGCCTTCTGGGTAAACGTCATTCATTTATTGAATTTTCCACATTTTACCTATTTTACGAGTTTTTTTTTTTTTTTTTTGTTACTACATGTACTCCAGACGGCAAAAGAAACAATATTATCATAACAACAAATTGGTTACAACACCTCCAATATTGAATCAATTAACCTTAATTGCCTTTATCACGATCATGAGGTGTTAAAACATGTGTAGACGGCTGTCACTAATTTTGAACATGTTGACCCGCAACTTTTGTTGTCCTTTTGTGTTTGACCAAAAAGGTGTGATTTTCACTATATTTCATCCGAAGGGACCGGAGATAATGTTTAAGAGTTCGAGCGATTGGTGTTAAAAAAGTGAGCGATCCATGGTAGAAAAATATACATTATATAAGAATTTTTAAGAATTTTGCCAGGACTGGGCGTTGTCAGTTCGAGCGTAGGGAGGTATTTGAGCGATCCGAGTTTGAGCGAATGAAGTTTAACTGTATTTGACCTTAAACCCTATTTGATCTTCACTGTTTTGATCTTCATTACATTATTGTTGTTTAAATTATGGCTCTTAAATTTAAAATGATAATGAAACACTTATTATTCATTTGACATGCTCCATATAACTCTTACACATATTAGATATTGACCATTGAAGTAAAGGGTTCAAACAATTTCAAATCATCATAAACTATTATGTTTATGTCATGACCTTGTTATATATAATTGTGTTTGTTTTTACATATGCTAAATTTTTTACCTTGAGATCTGTTTGACATTGACCACTGTAGATGAATGTATACAAGTAATGATATACCACTTTTTTCCCCTACTTATATGTAGTAGTATACTATAAAGCATTAGTATTGCATTTTCACAAATGCAAGCTTGTTTCATGATTACCATTAAAAAGACATATCTCTATGTCTTTTCAATGAATCTAAAATAAAACATGCCTCATATTTTATTAGAATTGTGCATATAGATAAAAATTTTGAAGAATTATATCTTTTGAATAGTTTCTGAAGTGAGTGATGCATGCTATAACATTGGCCTAATGTCTTAATTTATTAGCTTCCAGAGAATGGAGAAAAGAATCACAGTCAAGACCGCAGAGTTCTATAAGGATAAAAGTAGTTGGTGAGCACATGAAAGATGTAAAAGCAGTTAAAAAAGCAATTGAAGACTTTATCTCTAAGAGTGATTGGCAACAGCCAAATGTTGCTGAACAGGTAGGAAAGATAATGCTATTTCCTTCAGCCATTTTAGTTCTATAAAGTTTTTTACTCATATACAGACGAAATATATATAAAAAGCAATATAGATTAATATGTTTAAAAAAGTTGAGGCGTATTTCACTGCAAAATAGCCATGAATGGTATTTTTTTTCCATATTTTATTGCTCATTTTCAAAAACAAAAATGCGAGTTGGTGGGTCGGTACACTGAAAGATGTAAAAAAAATGATATAATGCATTTAATAAAACCAACACTTATTTCCGATCACTAAATGTACTTCTAATTTGTTAAATTGAAATCTATTTGGCAGAACCGTTATATATAGAAAACATAAGTGACTCTTGTATATATGCCCTTCAGACTTTTTATTAAAGGGGGCAAATGTCTACCTTTTAAAAACAAATCAGGGGTCAAATGTCCACCACTGCAAAGAAGGGGGCAACTGTTACGAGAGTTTCGAGATACCAGTGAAAACCTTAACGAGGGGCTTACAACAGTCGTTATGCTAACGATAGCTTCGAGATACTGACCCCTGATTCCAAATGCTATGTGTCATTAATGCTTGCTTAATGCTGTTTTCTGTAGTTAACCCTCCAGATTACTGAAGTAATGTCACTTTGATATTATCTGAGCACAGTTCAGCTGCTGCATCTTTCCCTGGCATGCTGTCAAGCAGTTTACTTGTAATAGTGCCTTCACTTTTACAAGGAACTGATCATTCAAGAATGTACAATGCAAATGATTCCTCCCAAACAGTTATTAGTTAAAAAAAAAACAATCGTGATATACCAGTGACAATGATTATTACTATGATAATGATGATGATGCAACGATATATAGCCGTAGAATGTGTTTTTAGCTCACCAGTGTCACAAAGTGACAGGGTGAGCTTTTGTGATCGCTTTTCGTCTGACGTCCGTCCGTCCGTCTGTTGTCTGTCCGTAAACTTTTACTTTAAATGACATCTCCTCATAAACCACTAAGCCAATTTCATCCAAACTTCACAGGAATGTTGCTGTGGTGGTCACCTTTAAAAATTGTTCAAAGAATTTAATTCCATGCAGAACTCTGGTTGCCATGGCAACCGAAAGAAAAAAACTTTAAATATCTTCTTTTAAAAATCTTAAGAGCTAGAGCTTAGATATTTGGCATGAAACATCTTCTAGTGAGTGTCTACCAAGTTTGTTCAAATAAAATCCCTGGGGTTAAAATTGGCCCCGCCCCGGGGGGGGGGGGTCATTGATTTTCCCTATATGCATATAGTAAAAACTTAAAAAATCTTCTTTTAAAGAACTCAAAGAGCTAGAGCTTAGATATTTAGCATGAAACATGTTCTAATGGGTGTCTACCAAGTTTGTTCAAATAAAAGCCCTGGGTTCAAAATTGGCCCGCCCCAGGGGGTCATTGATTTTCCCTATATGCATATAGTAAAAACTTAAAAAATCTTCATTTAAAGAACTCAAAGAGCTAGAGCTAAGATATTTAGCATGAAACATGTTCGAATGGGTGTCTACCAAGTTTGTTCAAATAAAAGCCCTGGGGTCAAAATTGGCCCCGCCCCGGGGGGCATTGATTTTCCTTAAGTGTCGACAAAGTTTGTTCAAATAAAAGCCCTGGGGTCAAAACTGGCAGCCATGCCCCAGAGGTGTTATTGTTTTTAACTGTATGTGTATAGTAAAAACTTTAAAAATCTTCTTTTAAAAAACCCAATGAGCTAGAGCTTACAGTACAGATATCAAGGAATATGCAAATTTCTGCGAGTATCGAGTAATCTCAAAAAGCGTGACTCCGAGTGGATTATAAATTTCTCGGGCGAAAAAGAATGACTCCGAGACAAGAACGAGTGACAATTTTGTCCGCGAGACTCCGTGAATCTCCGAGTCAAAAAGAGTGACTCCGAGAAAATAAGACTGATTTGGTACACGTATGCTTTATTTATTTATTAATTAATATAATGCTCTACCTCTAAAATAAAATCCTTCAACGCATGTATTATTCATTCAAAATAACAATGTTGTCGAAAATTCTTCGTTGATGTAAAGTGTCACAAGTGAAAACGAAAGTAGACACACTTGATTCATTAATTAATTAAAGGAAAGAATAACCGATGATTTCCCGCAATTCCCGTAACGCTCAGTGTCAAAAACCTATTTAATTTAGTATTCTAAAATAAGAAAATATAGATGAGCTTCTTTTTTGCATTGTTTATACAAATTTATAATTATTATGTAAGCAAAAAAAAGAAGAAGAAAAAAAAGGAAATACATGGCAAAACAACCACGTGCTTAGGTCGATTCATTCCATTGACATACTATCGTAAGGGAAATTATACTTTGTACCTGAACTGAATAAAAAAACAACATTTTCTTTAAGACAGTTTACAAAGTATTCTTCAGTGAAATGCATCTGCCTTGGAAAGTAATTTTATACTTTTAAGTCACGCTTTTAGATAAATTTGTACCAGTTACATAAATGATACCAAACTTATTTCCATGTGAAGTACATGTACGTCTCCTTTTAATTGTTGGTTGATAAAAAATCCGTGAAATACGAGATATAATACATCATTCCATACAATGCACTAGCCAAAACAGCGACACCCTATGTCGGCATGTACAGTCCTGCTTTTAACATTAATGTTTAAATTTATTTTACTATTGCTTTCAGAACAATATAGAACAGAGTTAAGAAGTTCGATCTGCTAGGCAATTCTACCGATGTTGGCAGCACAAGAAAGGACAACATTAAGGAATTCATTTATGAAATTCTACCGATGTTTGCAGGGGGAAAACAACAGGCGTTGCGTCGTCTCAAAAATAAAACCATGAATTATAAAACAAGAACATTGAGATTGGCAGTGATTTTTTAAAGGCATGGCGGTCTTTTTCAATCCACATACGTACATGTACAATTACGCATGCCCGCTTGCTGTGACGATCAAATATGTTCATATGCTATTATAAAAATATTGTTTTATCGTCTATGATCAGTACATGTACGTGAAATCGGAAGTAGTTTAATCTTTGTCAAAACTGTTTTTTTTATTTTTATAAAATGACATGATATAGATGATGTACAAACCATAAACAAATAAAACAAAAAGACAAATAAAATAATCATTTTATTCTTTGCTGTTTTTATTTTTTGTCAATCTGTGTAATGCTGATTACAGGTGAATGAATTACGGGAGCAGTGCGCTAGGTAAGTTGAACGGCCTCTGTCAACTTGTTAACACCTCTATAACCCTTGAATTCCTCTATAATGCCTGAAATAAAAAACAAAAATCTTAATTTATTAATGATCATCACAAGACAACTGACTTTTGATATCAATATCGAGGGACCGCAATATCGACATACGTCTACATATGACTTTGATAACAGATTGAGACCGACAGATTTTCGGAGATACTCTTGGAATAAAATTACAACAATATATTACTAATTTTTATGCAGCTTTATTTAGAAACGATTAAGTTAATGTTAATTCTCAAAAATTATATATAAATCAAGTGTCTTCTAATTAAAACGGCGGATGTGACAGGTTGACACGTAAACAATGGATTATGAAGAAACGTACATGCACATTTACATGCACATTATGACAATTTTTAAAACTATACAAACCAATACTAAAAGTTGGGAAAGTCAATTTTTTTGATGTGCACATGTTATCAATGTCAATGATTAAAATATTATGAAGATCGAAACTCATTTTCCACATTGAAAAAAAAATAAACACAACACAATATTCGGCACCTGAAATAAATTAGAACGGCACGTTATCGGTATTTGATGCATATAGAAACATTTAATATTAAGAAGTTTATATAATTAATTCATTTCTTAAAGAAGTATAAAAAAAAATGTTGGGCCGTTATTATATGGATTTTTTAAATCGCTTTTTGTTTTTGATAGAATTTCGGGTTCCTGTGGTTATTGCTACTGACCTAATTAATCGGGATAAAAATTAACTTGAGAACTGATGACGCTTACGGTAGTGGTTTTTTCTAATCAAATGTACCTTTCAACTGTTTCAGGGTAAATTGAAAACAACAACCGTAAAAATCATCTTTATTTTCGAATGGTAATCTAAAGAATTAAATTAAATATAAAATGAGATTGCACTTGCATTTATTTACACCAGCTAGACACCGACACGGAGTTACGCGGTAATTCTCTCTCGGAGTCACGCGCTTTTATTTTCGTCTCGGAGTCACTCTCATCACACGTTTCTCACGCGGAGTCACTCGTTTTTATGGACAAATACTCTCGCGGAGTTGCGAGTACTTTCCTCGATCCTCGGAGGATTTTGCATATTCCTCGATATCTGTACTGTAGATGTATAGCATGAAACATCTTCTTATGGGTGTCTACCAAGTTTGTTCAAATAAAAGCCCTTGGGTGAAAATTGGCCCTGCCGGGGGCGGGGGGTTGGGGAGAAATCATTGTTTTTCATTATATGTGTGTAGTAAAAACTTAACATCGTGAAGCATCTTCTAATGAGTGTCTTCCAAGTTTGTTCAAATAAAAGCCCTGGGGTTTAAACTGGCCCTGCTCCAAGGGCATATATACAGGTGAGCGACCTCAGGGCCATCATGGCCCTCTTGTTAATTATTATGTCCCCACTTTAAAGAAGAAGGGGTATATTGCTTTGCATTTGTCGGTCCATCGTTCTCCAAATGGTTTCCGAGTGAAGAACCCTTAGGCCTAGGAACTTCAAACTTGGTATGGTGATTGGTCATGACCAGCAGATGACCCCTATTGATTTTGGGGTCAAGGGGTCAAAGGTCAAGGTCACATTGACCTAGTAGGTAAAAACGGTTTCCGATCAATAACTAAAGAACGCTAATAGGCCTAGGAACTTCAAACTTGGTATGATGATTGGTCATGACCAGCAGATGACCCCTATTGATTTTGGGGTCAAGGGGTCAAAGGTCAAGGTCACATTGACCTTGTAGGTAAAAACGGTTTCCAATCAATAACTTAAGAATGCTTAGGCCTAGAAACTTCAAACTTGGTATGATGATTGGTCATGACCAGCAGATGACCCCTATTGATTTTGGGGTCAAAGGTCAAGGTCACATTGACCTTGTAGGTGAAAACGGTTTCCAATCAATAACTTAAGAACGCTTAGGCCTAGAAACTTCAAACTTGGTATGATGATTGGTCATGACCAGCAGATGACCCCTATTGATTTTGGGGTCAAAGGTCAAGGTCACATTGACCTTGTAGGTAAAAACGGTTTCCAATCAATAACTAAAGAACGCTTAGGCCTAGGAACTTCAAACTTGGTATGATGATTGGTCATGACCAGTAGATGACCCCTATTGATTTTGGGGTCAAGGGGTCAATGTCATATTGACCTTGTACTTAAAGACGGTTTCTGACCAAAAACTCAACAACTCAAGTTGCCTTGGTTGATAATTTTATATTAAACTAAAAATGCTTTGGTATACACATTTGAAGGTCTTATGTAATATAACAACTTGGCTGTCATTAATGAGGCCTACATGATTCATTAAATTTATGCATATATTATTTGGTAAGATTTGTAATAACTTAAATTGCTGCACACAACCTATGGGGTCACAATAATTATTACCTTGTGACTAGTCATAACCAGTAGATACTAGATAACCCTTAATAATTGTTTGTTCACTGGGTCAGAAGTCATGCATAATATCCTGATCACATGACTAATTGGCTATCGATAGGGGGCATACAAGTTTTACAAACATATCTTGTTTATGCATTGTTTTTATATTATATTTTGTGTTTTTATGTATATGTATTTTGAAAATTTCACTTTATAACCATGATGTAAATTATGTATATTTGAGCCGCTTCACGACAGAACCAACATAATGGGTTTGCGACCAGCATGGATCCAGACCAGCCTGCGCATCCGCGCAGTCTGATCAGGATCTATGCTGTTCGCTATCTGTTTCTCTACTTGTAATAGAGTTTGTAAGCGAACAGCATGGATCCTGATCAGACTGCACGACTGTGCGGATGCGCAGGCTGGTCTGGATCCATGCTGGTCGTAAACCCATTATGTTGGTTTTGTCGTGACACGGCTCATTTTATGTATGTTTATGTTTTGAGGCCCACATGGAAGATTGGGTAACCAAATGTGTAGCCTCAGTAAATAAAGATCTACCTACCTACCTACCTACCTAATTCTAGATTATTTATGGTGATACCATTTGCATATTCGAGTAAATAATCCATTTATTAAGCAAAGCAAAGTTATGGACTAACTTGAATCTTAATTTATTGTCCTAAATATATGTGTTTAAATAAACAGACTACTAGTATTCAAAATAGATACTATGATGACTGAGAGGTTGCTATTTACATTCATTTAGATATTTGCAATTATTTCATCCATGAAAGCAACATTATTATTTTGAATCTTGAAAGTATACTTACACCCTGAAACAACATGTTGCTGTAGCCTGAAAAAATGAAGAGGGTATTGAGAAGAAGCTCGGCCAGAATATTTGCTTTCACTTTGTAAAGTGTTTAAAATATCTGATTTCCACTAAGTCTTACAACCTTTGCTGCACAATCGTCAGTCTCTGCTGTTCTATATACAGTTGTTTTCCCTCAGTTACTAGTCTTGCAGTTTCTATTTTAAGTTTTTGCCTTTCAATAATAATCAAATCAGTTTCATAAGAACTTTCTGCATTTGCAATTCTTCTTGGTTTACGTTTTACGACCATTTCTTCCTGCTTTAACACACTGTTCACGGTATTCAAATGATTACATAACTCAATCGTTATTAACTAACGAGTAAGGAACAAATTAACTAAGGAGTAAGGAACAAACGATTGCTTAAATATCGCTTTCGAGATACCCACGCTAGTCTCTCGTTCACCAACCTTCCGTCAATCGTTCGTAAATGCAAATATAACGTTAGCTTCGAGATACTAACCCCAGGTCTTTGAGAGCCAATTGAAATCTTTGTATTTATTGTGAAGATTTTACTATGTACTATATATGGACTGCACCCCAACCTCAATGAGTTTATTTCAACCCCATTTATTTGTTTTCTGAATGCCTCCTTGCCTTTCTCTATTGATTATTTACACCTGTTTTGAAGAAACTCACTGTCTTTATTGCATTCTTTATTGATTTGTTTTTAAATGACAACAGGTTAAAGTTCAAGAAGAAATAGAACATTCATCAAAGGAACAGACAGAAATTGTCAACAAAACCAAATCTTTTGGCCAAACCCAATCTGTCAGCCAGACAGGAAATGTTGGCCAAACCAAAGCTGTCAGCCAGACAGGAAATGTTGGCCAAACCAAAGCTGTCTACCAGGCAGAAGCTGTTAGCCAAACTAACATAAATAGCATTACAGGAGCTGTCCAACAGAATGGAGCAATAACAGAACATGAGGGAACAGAAAAACAGCAAGAAAATATGGTATACATTATATACTTCCACAAAACATAGCTAAGAGAGGATTTTGTTCTTTTCCTACATTTCAAATAAAACTCATGGAAATTAAGAGCTTTCAAATGTCTGAGCTTGTTGTTTTAAAGGACAGAAGATTGATAAAATTTGGACCTCTTAATTTCATCTAAGCAGCTGCACACCTCTAAAATTTAAGCAATGCCAAAACAAAATATTAAAATTCCCGATCACCTTATTTGTCATATTGCTATTGTTTTCCAGATAAAAATATTGTTTTAAGGCCAGTTGACATAGAAGGTGTAATTTATGTTTGGCATGATATTTAAATTAACTAAACTTTATATCTGCAGGTATTATTAAAACGTAGATAGATTTGTGTTCAAATCAATCAATTTTTGTTTTTAATATTTTATGTGTCAGTTATAAGCTAATAATTCATGAAATCAAAGTTGATTTTGAAAAGCCTAAAACAAATTTGTGTATTTCTAATATTACTTTTGTGTCTGTGAGCAAATGTGCCTCCTATAATACCATGGAACTAGCATCTGTTTCTGTGTAAACAAAGGAATAGTCAGGATCATTTTATTAGCCGGGTTACACAGGTGCAAACCGGGTTATGGTATGGTGAATGTCGGGCAGGCGGTCTGTGGGCAGGCGAGGAAAAAGATTTGTAACAGTTTTCTCAGTAACTAATTACCACAACCTCTTGAAATTTGGCATAAAGCATTGACACATAGTCCCATACTGTGGGATTCGATTTCAGGTCTGACGCTCATCCGCTTCCTATTTAGGGACTTAGATAAATTTTTGACATTAATGGGCAATGGTAGGAAATTTTAGTAACAGTTTTCTCAGCAACTATTTATCACAGCCTCTTGATATTTGGCATACAGCATCAACACAATGTCCCATACCATTTAATTTCAGGTCTGTCGCTTATCCACTTCCTGTTATCCGACATACAGCATTACCATTAATTGGCATTTGTTCCCATAATGTGGGATTTGATTTCAGGTCTGTTAATTATCGACTTCTTATTTACGGACTAAATTAAATTTTTGACATTAATGGGCAATGGTAGGAAATTTTCCTAACAGTTTTCATGGCAACTACTTGTCACAGCCTCTTGATATTTGGTATACTGCAATAACATGTGGTCTCGGCCTTTTATGTCTTTCACCGATTTTTTATGCCCCCCCTTCAAAGAAGAGTGGGTATATTGTTTTGCTAATGTCGGTCCGTCAGTCTGTCTGTCGGTAGACCATATGGTTTCCGCTGATTATCTTGAAAACTATTTATCACAAAGTCTTCATACTTCACATAGTGATTGGTCATAACTAGAAGATGACCCCTATTGATTTTTAGATTACTAGGTCAAAGGTGAAGGTCACAGGGCCCTTAAAGGTAAAAATGGTTTCCACTGATTATGTTGATAAGAATCCATCACAAAATTGTCAAACTTCACATAGTGATTGGTCATTACTAGTGGATGACCCCTATTGATTTTGGGATCACTAGGTCAAAGGTCAAAGTCACACGAGCCTTAAATGTCAAAATGGTTTCTGCTGATAATCTTGAAAAGTATTGATCACAAAGTCTTCATATTTCACATAGTGATTGGTCATTACTAGTGGATGACCCCTATTGATTTTGGGATCACTAGGTCAAAGGTCAAAGTCACACGAGCCTTAAATGTCAAAATGGTTTCTGCTGATAATCTTGAAAAGTATTGATCACAAAGTCTTCATATTTCACATATTGATTGGTCATCACTAGTTGATGACTATTATTGATTTTGAGGTCATTAGGTCAAAGGTCAAGGTCACAGGGGCCTTAAATGTCAAAATGGTTTCTGCTGATAATCTTGAAAAGTATTGATCACAAAGTGGTCATATTTCACATAGTGATTGGTCACAACTTGTCAATGACCCCTGTTGATTTTGGGGTCACTAGGTCAAAAGTCAAGTTCACAGGGGCCTTAAATGTCAATGGTTTTTGCTGATAATCTTGAAAAGTATTGATCACAAAGTTGTGATATTTAACGTATAGATTGGTCATAACTAGTAGATGACCTTTATTGATTTTGGGGTCATTAGGTCAAAGGTCATTGTCACAGGGGCCTCAAATGTCAGAATGTTTTTTGCTCATGACCTTGGTTACAATTAATCGCAAAAATCTTCATATTTCACATATTGATTGGTCATAACTAGTAGATGACCCCTATTGATTTTGGGGTCACCAGGTCAAAGGTCAAGGTCACATGGGCCGTGCTCATGGGTGAGCTTTTGTCATCACTCTGCGTGCGTCGTGCGTCCTTCAAAAAATGGCGTCAAACTTTTCAAACAAAATCTCCTCCTAAACCACATGGCCAATTGCAACCAAACTTTACAGAAATGATCCTTAGGTGGACCCCTTTCAAAGTTGTTCAAAAATTTAAATTCCATTAAAAACTATGGTTGCCATGGCAACCAATAGGAAAAACTTAAAAAATCTTCTTTTAAAAAACCCTCAGAGCTAGAGCTAAGATATTTGGCATGAAACATCTTCTAATGAGTGTCTACCAAGTTTGTTCAAATAAAAGCCCTGGGGTCAAAATTGGCCCCGCCCCAGGGGGTCATTGATTTTCCCTATATGCATACAGTAAAAACTTAAAAAATCTTCTTTTAAAGAACTCAAAGAGCTAGAGCTAAGATATTTAGCATAAAACATGTTCTAATGGGTGTCTACCAAGTTTGTTCAAATAAAAGCCCTGGTGTCAAAATTGGCCCCGCCCCGGGGGTCATTGATTTTCCTTATATGTGTATAGCAAAAACTTAAAAAATCTTCTTTGAAAAAACCCAAATAGCTGGAGTTTAGATATTAAGCATGAAACATCTTCTAGTGAGTGTCTACAAAGTTTGTTCAAATAAAAGCCCTGGGGTCAAAATTGGCCCCGCCCCTGGGGGTCATTGATTTTCCTTATATGACAGTGTATAGCAAAAACTTAAAAATCTTCTTTGAAAAAACCCAGATAGCTAGAGTTTAGATATTAAGCATGAAACATCTTCTAGTGAGTGTCTACAAAGTTTGTTCAAATAAAAGCCCTGGGGTTTCATTGATTTTCCCTATATGCATATAGTAAAAACTTAAAAAATCTTCTTTTGAAGAACTCAAAGAGCTAGAGCTAAGATATTTAGTATGAAACATGTTCTAATGGGTGTCTACCAAGTTTGTTAAAAAAAAAAGCCCTGGGGTCAAAATTGGCCCCACCCTGGGGGTCATTGATTTTGCTTATATGTGTATAGCAAAAACTTAAAAGAACTTTTTTGAAAAAACCCAAATAGCTAGAGTTTAGATATTAAGCATGAAACATCTTCCAGTGAGTGTCTACAAAGTTTGTTCAAATAAAAGCCCTGGGGTCAAAACTAGCCCCGCCCCGGGTGTCATTGATTTTCCTTATATGTGTATAGCAAAAACTTAAAAATCTTCTTTGAAAAAACCCAAATAGCTAGATTTTAGATATTAAGCATGAAATATTTTCTAGTAAGTGTCTACAAAGTTTGTTCAAATAAAAGCCCTGGGGTCAAAACTGGCCCCGCCCCAGGGGTGTCATTGTTTTAAACTATATGTGTGTAGTAAAAACTTAAAAAATCTTCTTTTAAAAAACCCAATGAGCTAGAGCTTAGATGTTTAGCATGAAACATCTTCTTATTGGTGTCTACCAAGTTTGTTCAAATAAAAGCCCCTGGATTAAAATTGGCCCTGACGAGGGCGGGGGGGGGGGGGGGGAGTAGATCATTGTTTTTCATACAGTCGAGACTGTCATATGTGACTTTCCAAGGGACCCTCAGAAAATGGTCGCATATGACAGGGAGTCTCTATATACAGTCTCAATATCATCTAACTGTCTATATACCAATGTGACTTGAAGAACATTGATATTGTTACTGTGATCACGTATCTTGCAAAAAATATATATGGATATAATTATGCAAATAAAACCATTTTCAAACATCAAAGAATATGTAAAATGTTTATTGCAAATATTTGTGTACATTATATTTAATCAATAAATTACATGCACTGATTTCTTATCGGAAAATTTGACTTATAATTTATAGAAAATAAAGTTCTAATTACCTCCCTTTAATGACCTTTATTTACATGAAATGTTAAATTGGGTGATATCTTTCTAAATTATGCTTATTTGAACTTACAATATTGACAAATCTTAATTTGAGCATCATATTTATGAAATAAAACCGTGAAAAAATTGTGTTACAGGATCTTACAGGATCTTAACTGTAAACATATCCATATCCAAAGCTTTTTCTGGTTTGGTATCAATACTTTTTTCCGTATTAATTATGCAGCCATAGAAAGGTAAATTAAAAAAAATGCTGCCTAAAAAATCTTCCAAGGGCACTCTATAATTAAAAAAAAATCTAACACAAGTCTTAACCCAGTTTACTCAGGTAGTACATTACACACACATGATTCACGAATTCGAAAACCTAGCTAAACGCCGTTTTCCGGTACTTTCTGTACATAGCTCTGGGGAATTCACCTAATGGAGTGAAATAACAAACTTCATGTTTTTGGCCGTTTTTTTAAATCAAAGTGAAATAAAACAGTTATTTCTTTGTAAGAAAATAATTAAATGGCATTGTATATATAATTCCATACAAAAAATAAAGCAAATACGAAGGTTTATGCAGAAAATATCTCTATTTATGATTGAAGATTCCACTACGGTGGTTAAAATTTTTATTGATTTTCATTATAAACAATTTATTTTTTGAACAATTTGCAAAAGATATTAAATGAATATTGATAATTTTCAAACACATCAATTTGTTTCACCTTAAACTGTAATATAATGATAGAAAAATAGAAATATCATGTAACTGTGTTATGTAGTTCATATGGTGTAATTCCCCAGAGCTAAATCCGTAACGTACCGGAAAACGGTGTTTAGCTAGGTTTTCGAAAAGGTCAATTGCATCATGATTCCCATGAACTGACGCTAC